TCAGCAATTTCAATCTGCGCTTAATAGTTCACACCAACTCTCACATCAAAGGCATTGATGCTTGAATTTGCTCAAGCAACCCCCCAAACAATGACACATATTTCCTATAGATTCAAACATGTGGATTTCCCATTGCGAAAATAAGCCAAATCATCTTGAACAAACCCAGGGATATTACCAAATATACATCCACCTTGCACCATGATGGTCATGCGACGAGTCGCCTGCTGTCCGGACTACGCGTGACCTTCGTAGAAAGTGAAGAACCTGAATTCGATGAGTGGAGCCCTGGAAGTTCAGCACAGTTCACCCTGGAAACTGCTGGAATCATCAATGGCAATGACCAAGTATCAGCTCAGTTCGACGCTTTGGAAATTGTTTTGTTTGATTTTCCAGCTGTATTTTCCATGGCGATTCTTTGGTGCTGGGTTCTAGATAGTCTATATTCAATCCAACAGGGTTACGGTATCAGGGCATGAACAGGAATGCATGAAGTGCATTGAACTGTCATGCCTCCAAGATTGAAGAATGGCAGCAGTACCCCCCAAAGAATCAACACGTAGTTCTTAAATAGCGGCCATTTCGGAAAATCATCTTTCAAAAAATCCAGGATACCCCTAAATCCATTGGGATAATCATCATTTATATATACATATACATACAATGTGAGGCCCCCCAGTTATAAGTTGGTTTATAAGCCCCAGTAACTATAGTTATAAGTACCATAAACCATAGTTATTGGAGATATAAACCAACTTAGCTATCTTGGGGGCCTCACATTGTATATACATTATATATATATATATATACATAATATACATATTATTATGAATATAACATTTTTTCGGAGTATATATCATTATATATCCTATTTCCAGACATACCCATTTCGTTGGGGCTGAGTCTCGAGCCGTCCATGTAAGACCTCCACTTGCGAGTGGCCCTAGCCTGGACTGCTGGGATGATTTTGTTTATAGAAAATGGGCACTTCAAGGGGAAACTGTTCAGCTACTCTTACAATGTAAGATTATGTAAGTAATGTTTCAAACTCAGACGCACCAAGAAAATGGGAACTTGCAGAAGTTATGTTTAAGACTTTGAACATTGCAATTTTGCTAGGCTTTCATCTGACATTACTCCGCTCAAGTCAACCAATGGTGGGTGATTTGGCTCGGTGTGGAAAGTTCCGGGAATTCGGGCCCCAAACCAGCACGGTATAGTCATTAATTGATCAGTCACCAACCCAAACTACCAGTAGTTATAAAATCCCAAGACTCCACATCCCCAATCCACCAAATTATTAGTTCATTCTATATCATTCTATCCCCATATTGTCAAAATGTGTTCTACAATATACACACAATAATGTGGCTGAATTACAATAATTCACTAAAAAGTTCGACCATTTCGGGATAGTTACCCCAATCCAAATCCCATCATATTCCATTGACATCACGATGTGAGGTCGTGATCACATTTATTTGATATGGGATAGTGATGGATAATGAACCAAACACATATTGACAATTCAATGGGAAAACATGGATGGTAAATCAGGTAAATCATCCATTAAAAAAGGTGACCACTTGATTGTTTGGTCTTTAGATCATCCCAGAAAATTGTCCATCACTTCATACATCACTGAAGTGGTACTAAAAAATATATAAATCATCCATCACTTCATTGCCCAACAGAAAAAAAACATTTGAAAAGAATAACCGTCCGCCTCGTCAGCTGTGGCTCTGGCGCTTTTCGCGCAGGAACTGGAGGCACTGCTCGGTGCGGCACCTGCCGATGTGATGCCAGATGCCAGGCGAAGGAATGTATCCCAAATATCCCAAGAATAAATGGGAAAGATTGGTAAAATATAGTAAAATTATGAAGTTTCCTGGAAAAAAACATCAAAAAATGGGAAACGTACTAAATTGATAAGGTACAAACATGGTAAAACACGATGTTCAAAGGTACTTAGAGGGTCTAGGTAGATCGGTTTCAGGGATATTCTGCAGGAATATCGCACAGTTTTTCAACCCATTCTGGGAGAATCATGAGAAAGATGGGTCGATACCATGTGATACCTATAAATTGTCATGATTTGTGGAATGAACATCCATAACTACCAGCTATGTCTTGAATTCTGGAGGTTAGAAATCCATTGTCGGTTGATGAACACTCCCATTGAAGCTGCAGCCTCAGTCTTGTTGGTGTAGTTACCATTATTTGTTTGTTGAACATAAACCTCCGATATGACAAGGAGACCTAGAAATTTTGCCATCCGACTCGGGGGATAAAACATGCAGAACTAGCAGCTATTTTAGTGTTCATTGAGGTACCAGGGGTTGGACTCATACCCACAGGCGCCATCATCAAGCTACATGGGATGTGCTATGGTCACCCAACCATCATAGGAATTCCTATGAATTCCTTATAATGGGTATATTGGCCCCTATTCATGGGTTGATGACCTCCCTAAATATGACCATGATTGACCATGAAACCATGATGTTTCCAATGTTTCCGAAAGATTATGATGTATATTTGATGTATCCATGTGTGTACCCTAATAAATATGAGCTTTCAGCACACCTGTATCATCCAAGATTAACGATAATAAGCAACATCAATCTTCAACAAAAGGACCGACACCTCTATGGATTTCTGGATCCCTGAGTCTGAACTATCAGGTGGTTGGGAAACTGCCCCTTGGTCCCTCATTTTTTTGGGGGAAGATAGATACCCCGATCGCTCCCTTCATCGCTCCCTCCTAGCCACTGGATAGTTCTATATACTCAGAATAGTCTCTTCAATGTTGCTTAAGAACTGGTTGTGTCACCATTGCGATTGGTTAAGTCACCATATAATATATTCCCATGATATTCCCACAATTAGTCGCAATTACCCCACATGTAATTTGTTACATAGCTATTGAACATGGCCCAGTTGAAATAGTATGAAATAGTGAGTTTTCCAATTAAACATGGTGATTTTCCATGGTTTTCCATGGTTTTTTGTATGTTTACCAGAGGGTACCCCACAAAAAATGTTGATCGCTGCTGCCTGTGTAGACCTGCAAAGTCCTCGGCGGACTTTTGCAAAAGATGCAGGTTGCAGGAGAGCAACTGGTTTTTCAGGGGGATCTTCACTGGTACCCGGCCTGGTAAACGTTTACATTTTGCTATGGAAAATCACAATATTTAATGGGAAACCTCACTATAAATGGCATTTTTACTGGGAAAACTCACTATTTCTATGGCCATGTTCGATAGCAAACTGTTAAATTACCAGAGGGTAACCATTTTTTTTACATGTGTAGTGGTTTCCTGCAAAGAACGCCCTTAAACTTACACCAATCCAATGAGAATCAGAAGAACTGGGGGGATAACACACAAATATTGCTTCCAAACAAAGCACACATGAGTGAAACCAACGACACAGACGTCATCCAACATGGGAATTCAATCGAATCCCCCCTTGTAGATGAGGAAACAGCGAACAAAACCTCTTCAGGGGAAGATTTACCAGGCCATGCCTTGATAGGCCTGTTTCCTCAGGTTTATTTTTAAGTCTAGTCATGGGGGATCCCCATGGCTTTTGATTTTTCGTAGATGGTCATGACGTGGATGACTTGGGGCTACCCCCATTGTAGGAAACCTCCCGAGATGCAAACATGTCTGAAGGTGTCATCCACAAAGCACTCAGTCCGTGGATATGGGTACTCAATGACTTGATCGGTACCTCCCAAAAGTGAAGGGAAAACCTCATTCACAGGACATTTTTTCGTGTTTATCCCCTTACATTTGGAAAAAAACAAGTACAGTAACATCAAGTAACAAAGAGTACAGCTCCAAAGACCTTCTGAGATGGTAATTTAGATGGTAATTTGGATGTTTTTTCAGCTTTGATGGGTTAAAAAAAAATACATTTTCCAGGTCTGAAAAAACACTGGCATCCACCTTGATCCACGCCAAGGGACGACCTGTGAATTCTCTGATTGATGGAGATGGCAGTTCCATGGATTCAACGGATCAGATTTCTGGATGGATTTCTGGCTTACTGTTGCTATCTGGCTGTGACTAAAACCAAGAAATATGGGGAGCTGTGCGATTGCTGGTGATAGAAGATTGAGAAATCACTGGGCCACAAGACGACCCCAGTTGGCCAGCAAGGTCGCAAGTTTTACGAGACCTTCAGCAAGGATGCTGATGTGCTCATGCAGATTTAGACCGACCAGAATGTGGATCTGGTGAAATTGGTGTCATATCATTTGCAGCTTCTTAAAGATGCACTCTTTTTGTGTTCGCCTCCACCAATTGTGTTGACCAATGTCAAGCGACGTATCTGCTCCAGTCAGAGGCAGGCTTTACATTGATATTATAGTGGTTTATCAAAGAACTATCATGGAGTATCTAGATCTCAGCACTCAGCGAATCCCTCTGACTACCTGAAATTGAACAAGATACATGATTGGCTGCATACGGCTATCGAGCAACAGCCTTTGAGCCCAATGCAAAACAATCGCAGAGAAAGCTATCGCACATGCCCACTTTAAATTTCTAGCCTCTGGTGATTTATGACAGTTTGCTGTGGAAAATCACATGTTTATATCATGTTTGATAAGGAAATCATCTATTAAAACCATCTAAACTCAAAATAAAATGACATAAAATATGTGATTTTCCACATGTAAACCATCTATAATTAACATCGAACTCAAATGGCCATCTAAACCCGATCAAGTTTGACAGGGGGCACCGCCGAGCCGCAGGGACCTATGGTTGTTGTGAAATGGGACCCAACCCTGGGATAACCATACAAAACGACGTGGAAAACGATGCCATGTGGAAAACCCATGGTTTCACTGTCTTCCCAGACACATGATCTACATTCTTGGTGGGTTTTTATGGGTTGTCCACATTTATGTGAAGCTTTACAGGAGGGTACCATCTTCTTGTGCATGCCTCCCAAACCAACATAATCTTCTTCACTGGCAACCAGCGATTTTTTTTCCGAGAAGGGAAGCTCTGTGTCCGTGCGCATCGCGATGGTGCTGGGATGTGGCTGTTTCTATTCTGCTGTGTCAATTTCCTGTCTGAAACTCTCCATGGCGCAAAGAATCGTGAAATCTGAAAAATATGAAAGTCAATGGGAAGGATTAGATTATCCCATATATGAAATGGAAAAAAAAAAACATCTTCCAAACCACCAACCAGACATGTTTAGGATGTGAAATCCTGTGAAATCCCATGGAAAAGAATGGCGTTTTTGTTGGTGGGATCTGTTTCCATCTACTTCAAAGCTATGTTTTGCTACGCTCAACGCTGCCGTCACTGGATCCTTGACCTTGGTAGTCAACTCATCAAACATATGGAGGTTTCCATAGCCATGGGGATCCCCCCAAAATGGTTGGTTTATGAATTTTATAATGGAAAATCCCAATCTAAAATGAATGAGAACTGGGGGGTAACCATGGGTAACCCCTATTTGTGGAAACCTCCATATGACATGTGCGTCTAGATAACATCATGTTGACAGGAAACCAGTTAAACCATCTGATATTCAGGGAAGCTATATCAATGAACAACCAGTATCACACCAATGGTTGACCATATTTGACCCTTAGAAAGATATCATGCGATATCAATAGCCTCTGGTAAACATAGAAAAAACTATTGAACATGGCCATAGAAATAGTGGATTTGCCCATTAAAACATGGTGATTTTCCATAGTTTTTTGTGTATGTTTACCAGAGGGAAGTTTCCCATTAATGTGATTTTCTCAAAATCTAAAACACCAACATGTCCTGCTTTATCCTAGTTTCCCAAAAAATATTTTATGATATCATGGTTGAAAAAAACAACATGACACACCCACAGTTCCACGATTGATGATAGTTTTCCATGCTTTTTCAATGGGCCACATTCCATGGTCCAATTTAAATGGGGATCCCAAGTTTGTTCATAGCCTCCAGGAATAGAAACATCGCCATGGACCATTGGCCCATTGGCCCATCCTGTGCTCCGCACTAGACTTTCATCCACAGCACTGAGCGTCTCTTCTCCTTGCCCGGTCTTGGATACTGGTTGGTTTTTGTACGATGTCCCAAGAAAATTGGATTCTGATATATAATACCCCAAAAAACTATCACCATGTATGACCCCATATAGTTAATCGGATTTCCTTTGATTTCATGGAGTGTGATAATCCCTATTTCAAATAGTATAACCCCATGTAATCATCAATCAACAGGCACACCGTTCAATTGCTTGAGTGGTTACCTTTCTCCGTAAGAATCCATGTTACAAGACTGGATGGTGGCTTCAGTTGCCTGAAACTTGTTTTAGTCATCAGGAGAGAAGTGAAACACCATAGTTGAAACCAACTACCAAAAATATTTCGGAAAGGGCAACACTTCCGAGTGGCTGAAAAAGGATGAAATAGGGATGGAGACCTCATTGACAGGGAACGGCTTCATGAACAAACCAATGACCGGACACATGTCATGTACCAATCATGGAGTTGCGGAATTCAAAAGCAACAAGCGGTGGAGATGTAACGAACTAAAATGGGTTTGAGTTGGTGCTGCACCCCCAAAACAAATCATGTGTAGTGAAGAGAGGTGACTTTTCAGCTCAAAACAGAACACGTTGGTCATACTTTGGTCATCTTGGATCACAACCCATCACAACTACCCTCTGGTAATTTAACATAGCTATTGAACATGACCATTTATAGTGGATTTTCCCATAAACAATGGTGATTTTCCATAGCTATGCTAATTTACCAGAGGGTACCATCGGTTTTTTTCAAACATGGCTAGCTGGACCATTCCCTATGAACCGTTCGGGGATTTCCCAGCCATCACCATGACCGAACACAGCGACACAGCGTTGCCTGTTGGAAGAATTCGATCTTGAACTTATCACCAGGAGCTCCCCGGATGACCCAACTCTTCTCCTCGATCAAAACATATGAAAACGCTAGCTTCTGCGGGTTATGGATGGTTGGTTACCTGATTGAGATTGTTTTTGGGACACAAAACGTTTCAAAAAGTCCCCTGAAAAGAAAAAAAACGGACACGTTTTTGGAGATTTTGCCACTTCAGTGACTGTTTGGTCTTAATGTAAAATCCAATAATTACACAGATTTGCAAGAGGGTTGCACCTATGGATACAAAAATATCATGGTGACAGAGCCCTTAGTCAAAGATCAGTGACGTCGTACTGCCAAGACCATTTGTTGGTGGTTTATTGTTGGCCGTTTCTACAAACGCTGGTTTAGAAGCCCAACCTGGAAATAGATGATTTATTCGTGTCATTTCTACTTCATGCTACTTAATTTGCTATGAGGTAAGCTGTAATACGATGGGGTAAGTCATGCGGCCGAACTCTTCTCTGCCAGGTTAGCTGGCATTGTTTTGCCAAGAAATTGTTTGGGGATCGCCACTTGAGATCTTTAGTAAAACTGTCGGAGTGATGGCCTAAATTCAGCAAATTACTTTACTTCGTGTGATCCCCACCATGACATTTATACATTTTCTTACTGGCAAATCTTCTGGCATTCTATCTGACATATCTTCTGGCATATGATCTGGCATATCTTCTGGCATATCTTCTGGCATATCTTCTGGCATTCTATCTGGCATCTTCTATTCTATCTGGCATATCTTCTGGCATATATTCTGACATATCTTCTGGCATTCTATCTGACATATCTTCTGGCATATATTCTGCATCTTCTGGCATATCTTCTGGCATATCTATCTGGCATATCTTCTGGCATATTTTCTGGCATTCTTCTGGCATCTGGCTATCTATTCTTCTGGCATATCTCTATCTGGCATTCTATCTGGCATATCTTCTGGCATATATTCTGACATATCTTCTGGCATTCTATCTGACATATCTTCTGGCATATATTCTTATCTGGCATATCTTCTGGCATATCTTCTGGCATATCTATCTGGCATTCTTCTGGCATATCTGGCATCTATCTATCTTCTGGCATTCTATCTGGCATATCTTCTGGCATATTATCTGGCATTCTATCTGGCATATCTTCTGGCATATGGCTTCTGACATTCTTTCTGACATTCTTTCTAACTTTCTTCTGCACATTCTTTGTCCCATATCTTCCTACATGAGGTCCGGCAGGGAACACTTGGCGTGGATACTCGCGGTTGAGGTCCGGCAGGGAACACTGGGCGTGGATGGTCGTGGTTGAGGTCCGGCAGGGAACACTGGGCGTGGATGGTCGTGGTTGAGGTCCGGCAGGGAACACTGGGCGTGGATGGTCGTGGTTGAGGTCCGACAGAGAACACTGTGCGTCGAGGGTCGCGGTTGAGCAGGAGGAGGAGGAGAGGAGAGGAGGAGAGGAGCAGGCAACTGACATAAAATCTAACAACCCTCACCTGGCAGGTGGGGAACAATGACTGGTTGGTGGTTTTTCGCCTACCCCTCTGAAAAATGATGGAGTGAAAGTCAGTTGGGATGATGACATTCCCAACTGCTTCTGGAAAGTCATGTTCAAGCCATGTTCCAAACCACCAACCAAATGATAAGTGGATTGTGGGGATGATATTCCAATTATATAATTATCATGGAATCAGAGGCATTGGCGTTGAATGCTGTCAGTCCTTCAAAATCCCAAGGGACCCCAGGATTCACCAAAATCATTCTGGTCCCCCTCTCTTGGGTAAGTCCGGATTAACTGATACCTTTACTCCGATTTTTTCCTTGTCTTTCTGCACATGTACTGAGGCAAAGCGTCAAAAGTAACTTGTGAACATGCCAAAAATAGCAGATTAATTGCAGATGATTTACCAGTGGATTTTGGTGATTTCTCCTGCATGTTTGGAAACAAACTCACATTCACATGTCTGTTGGTTGAATGATGCAAAATCACATTTGTATCCGACTACATATCCAAGATATCCCGGATATCCCAATCATATCCCGATCATATCCGCATATCATTGCTATATTGCTGTTAAACAAATATCCTTATTATATAATGCGGCTGTTATTTCTTCTGTCATAAACTACTATCAAATATCTTATCAATACATGGTATCCCAGAATCCAATGGTTGATAGTCATATATTCACCATGGTTGGGAGTAGCTATTAAAGTAGCTATTTGGCTGTATATCCCGATATTTAAAGACACAGCCAAAGAAAGTATAGTGTATATAGGGATGGATCAAAACCTATGCTTACCATATTTTGGGGAATAACCATCCATTATATAATCAGCTATTTCAGGGTATCTAGGGTACCTAGGGTACCTAGGGTACCAGGGGTTGGACCCATAACCATATATATACACTATATACATATATATATATATACAATATATATATATAACCACTTTACTTCATTGGAACCACCCCTGTCACTCTGTCATCCCGGTTACGTGCCGTGCCTTGGAGGCAGCTTTAGGGCCTTGCACTTGTGCCACCTGTTTTTGTCGCTGGTCGAATCCCCATGGATTGATGGGATCCATGTTAGCATATGTAGCAGCACCATGGATCCGTCATGGGGTATACATTCCTTACTTCACAACGGAGGTCTTGTCTGAATATTTACTTGAGCCGCACAATGCAATGGTTCATCTGGAAAAAATTGCTCTATGTTTCCATATTTCATCGCCTTGAAGAAGGAGTGTTAAGTGAGTTCCCTAATATATTAACAATATGCAAAAAATAGGGCTGCATCCGGTCACGAATTACTGAAAAACTGTTCACATCGTAGGTTGAAATATATAACGGTCCAAACAACAAACCTGACTTGCTGGCAGTAAAATTGGATGAATCTAGATGCGTTCAAAGATTACATAGGTTCCAGAAGTAAACTTAGTGAGGACTCCCAGGGTTTCTGAAATCCCAAACTTTCTACAACTCTCCGTCTTGAAAAGGAACCTCTGTGGCCCTAATACAAGAACTACCATCTAGTCTCATAATATGCAAACTATAATATACCCATACATATTTCTTGACTGTTATAGACAGGAAAAGATATTGCTGGTATCCCCATATCTCACATCCATTACCCACATGTTTGTTGCCAAATATTCAACTAAACCCAACCATAAACCATTCCAATCCAACCATTAATGGTTGGTGGTTTTTATAACATACGATATTATCCAGTCTTAGTACCAATGTCTCTACCACCCATATGGATTCGTCCAAAAATGGTGAGCCACAAGCGGCTCTAACCTGCCCGTGGTAGTGGCTGCTAGGGTCACTGAGGGTTGGTCCACCGATAGAGCCATGGATCTACAGCAGTCTGGAGTTCACGATGACATTTTGAGTATTCTTTCACATTACTGCCTTCAACCTTCGATCTGTTCATGTCTCCGAACTGTGAGTGTTGCTTTGCAGATTCACGATGTGAAGATTATCTCTCATGATTTTACAATGGTGGATTGTTCGATTGTCGTGCCTCCTGGATTTGCTCCAAATGAGTTCATGGGATTTTCTTTGAACCCTTGTACGCGTGACGAAGCCAGAATCAAACATGTGCGTGTCAAGTTCACGGCTGTTCAGTGGGATGCTTGTGTCCAACATCATGATCAGGTCCTTGTCATTTGCGGAGATTTCTCTCAGGGTTTACTCACAACTGATGCTCAGGAATGTGGTGTAATTCCGGTGAATGAACAGCCGAGAAACCATGGAGATGAAAACACTGTTTTTATGGCAGAGGTCTTTGCAGGTGGCTTTGGCGGTTGGAGTCATGCAGTGAATGCTCTAAATCAAATTGGGGGAAGCATTAGGCGTCTTTGGGCCATTGACAGAGACCCAGAATGTGCTTTTAGGTTTGCAAAGTCTCATGATGTCACACATGTTTGCGATGGCCCCAGACAGTGCTGGCAACAATGCAATGAGATGAATCATGACAAGTCAACCTCCTTTTTCTTGATCTCGAACTTGAAATTCTTGTGGTGGACTCCTTTGATGAGGGTTCAGGGGTTGGACATTTGGGCGACATCTCCTCCATGCCCTGCTTGGAGCTTGGCGAACTCACCTCCAGGCTTTGCACGTGCGGACGGTCTGATCTTAGTCAATCTGATTGGATTAGTCGCAGCATGTCGTCCAAAGGTGTTGCTGGTTGAGAACGTGTCAGGAATGAAGGCTCACAAACATTTTCCTCTGATTCTTGCGTTGTTGAGATGGGCAGGATACGCAGTGAAACACAGTGGATGTTCGGATGTTGGACAAGTGATGCCGCAACACCGTGACCGTCTCACCATAATTGCCATCAAGATAGGAAACATTGACATGTTTGCTCACATACCCAAAGCATGGCCAGTTGACACCAAACCATCTTTGGGATCTCATCATGTTATTGTTTTTGGGCCTCACCCATGGGATGCTGAAGTGACTCTGAGTGCAAATGAACTCAAGGTGTACATGAACCCAAATCATTTGCCGAAGCATGTCTTTACCAATGGGCACTCAAAGAGGACCACCCGGGACCTCATGAAATATCGTGTCAGGACATTGAATGATCAAGCGTCATGTTTTTCGACGTCGTATGGTTTGCCAGAGGACCTTGATCCAAGCTTGTTGCGAGATGGTGGGGTTTTCGGATCACTATTTTTGTGTGGCACCACTTTGAGGAAGTTTGCTCCAGTTGAAATCGCTCTCATGCACGCCATCATGACCGCCACATGGATTCCAAGGGACTGGAAAGCCGCCATGGTCACGCTAGGGAATGCAATCACGGTCCCACACGCCGTGCTGGCAATCATTAATGGTGTCATGTTTGTTTGTCGTGACATGTTCATGTATGGGGTTGCTGAAACCTTTTCCAGAGTCATGAAGTACAGGTTGCAGGCAGAAGAGGTCGTGTTTGAAGCTGATGAACATGGTATTGTCATCAAGAGGAGAGAGATTGCATTGACCCTTGCAATTTCACCAACGCAGCCTTTTAGATGTATTGCACGCCTGACAATCGCATCACCCACAGATCAGTTTGTGGTCTGGTGCGAAGAAGGCCTTGACATTCATGAGGTGTTGTCGGTTTTGACAGGACCATCCATGCCTGCATGCATTGACATTTGCCCGAATCATGTTGAAGAGTTCCGTATCCCTGTTGCCGGAGATTTTCGCATGTTAAAACATGACACAACTTTACATGCTGCAGTCCCATCGGCCATGATTCTCCAAGAGAAAATGTTTGCCACGAAACTTTGTGATCGGTCAATTGCTTGCTTTCTCACTGAGTTTGGGGTCGTGGCAGTCCGTGCGCACGGTGAAATCCTGGTTGATGATATTGAGATGGTCATCGATCACCTTGGCTGGTATCAACATGAGCATGTTGCGTGCACGTCCTTGGTTGACCGTCCTTTGCAATCGCAAGATGTCTGTCCATTACTCACCATTGTCATGCCGGAAGTTCACCTTGACAATATGGATGAGGTTGAGATTGTACAAGTTTCTCATCAATTCCTTGCTGTTCCACAGGGTTTTGTCATGAAGGGTTCAGAACAAGCAATGAATCGTGCCTTGAACTTCCTGAGGCAAGCGAAATTGATCACATTCGTCAAGTGCTTTGGATGGCATTTTTCCGTGGATATTCCTCGCACACCTCAGCCAGAGGTTTTGGAATTGCATTTGACCAGAATGCCCGGAGTGTTGGCAGTTCTACAGAGTGCCATGAGACAATTGATTGAATCACGTGTTTTCGCCTTTTTGCTGGATTTGAGGGTCCTACCTTTGGGAGTGGATGTTTTTGTCCGGATTAAACTGTGGGACACGTGGATTTGGCACGGTGAAATGAGCTCTGACACAGGGAGAAGTTGTCACAAAAGCGTGGTTAGACGCTTCTGGTCTTTTTGGGAATCAGGCTGAGATGAGACTCATCATCTGTGGGAGTAGAGCAAATCCAGACTTTCCCATCAGTGTTTATGCAAAACCCACTGAGTCAGGTCTGAGAGCTGACATCCATTTGGTCCTGCAACTTCATGGAGGCGGCCCCCATCAATCCGTTTCGTCCGGCTCCGAAGAAGATGGAAATGCAGTCACCGGATCTGAAGTGCAGGTTGGAAACCATCAGAACTCTTCTTCGATCGACTATGTACATCAAGCGGTGTCCAACCTGTTGTCTCGTCAAATCCATGATCGTCAGTTCTTTGTGGAATGCATTCATGATTGTAAACTTGTCCAGGCAGATGGCTTTGCATATGTTCAGGATGAAGTTTCCAATCTGATTTCACTCATGCAATTCTTGAGACACTCTGGTATTGAAGACGTGTTGAATGCTGAAGGATGGCACTGCCTTTTACAGTTCTGCAGGTTTGAGGAGCCAGTTGTCACACGTATGGTCATTGTCCCAATTCCGCAGATTGAGCCTATCCCTTTGCCGAGCATCGTCTCCGTCCTGGTCTCATGCCTGTTTGTCCTGTCTTTCCCGCCACCCATGATTCAACGACAAGGGTCTGTCAAGGTTGAGGTTAAGCTGGATAGGCATTGGATTGACCTTGGATGGATCGATGGGTCACAAGTCTGTGAAACTTTGATCAACGATTGGTACGAGATTACAACTTTTGCAGGAAGCCCATCCAACATGCGCATGATCTGCCGTGGCAAACGTGTGAACATTGATCGTTCAATTTCGGATTATGCTTCTCTTGACTCTGACGGGGTGTTGAAAGCCAGGTTTTTCTTCGTCCTTGAGCTCAGAGGCGGAGGAAAAGCGCCAAAGCCGGAGGTTCAAGTCAAAGTGAAAAATGCTATCGCCTCGTGCTTGCTTTCACATGGTGCTGACCTCACTCCAGTGTCGAAATTCGTGGACAAATTGATTCACTCGGCAGGTTTTCAAACTGTTCAGGTCATTGCCAACATGACAAACCCAGTTGCCAAGCTTGATGCCATTCAAAAGTTAGGTCACACCTTGAACATCGAGACACCGCCAACAAACAAGGCCGCAGCCAGTCGACAGCAATCTCAGCCAAAAAGACCTTCTGCTGGTAAACAGGACTTTCCTGCGACCTGCTTTCAGATTCAGGAGGGCTTCTTCAGAAATGCTAATGGGTCGGCTTGCAAACAGGTTGATGATATTCAAACCGGATCATATGGGATCGTTCTGTTGTCCCCAAAAGATGCGACTTTGTGGCTCCAGAGCCACAAGAGCGTCAGCACAGATGAATTGGGAGTTTTGGTGCTTGGATCATGCCCGATACAAGGATCATGTCACTGCAATCCTGTGAACACACCTGCAATTGGACCACATGGTGCACCGGTCATCCTTTCCACATGCTTGCATAACTTGGGAGATTCCAAAATCAGCTGGCAAACAAGTGCGAAGGCGGACATTCAGGTGACATCGACGGTTGTTGTTGCGGTCACATGTTTTCAGGACGAAGTGTCGCAGCAAACATGGTCCAAGGTCAAACAAAGTCCGGTCAAAGCATGTCTTGAGATTTTGACAGGGTCTGGAGTCAACGTCAACGTT